CTGGGCTCTGCGGTCACGCTCCCAGGTCGTTAAGATCGACATTAATCCGACTTCCTTTTCAGGTTCCCCAAAAAATACCTTTCCATGGTGTGGGCAGCCGGGAAGTGCTATCAGCCTTCATACCCGTAACAGCACACGAGACCAAGTCGGTCACATTCAAATCCTTCCTACACCTCATTACTTAATGTCTACATTAGTCAGATAGTTGTTTATGTGGAGGTAAGAAACAGTAATATACAGAATGTCAATTTCATGAAGAATGGTCATATGTATCTTCAGAAATACATAAATTAATATAGCCTCTAACATATTTATTTCATCTACTGTTGAAGAGATTTGTGATATACTTCTGTATACTTCGAAGTAGGTGTGTGGATGAACATACTAATATTTTCGATGAAACTTGGAAAAGCCTCAATTAGTCCTTAGAGCTATTTATTAAGATAATTCACTAAAGAAAATAACTTGATGAGGCTATGATTTATCGAAAACCTTCATGCGATGCTAAAGTGGAAGTTCTAATAATCACCTATTTTCTGGGGTAAGAGAAGGCTGCAATTTAGTGTGTGGAGCTAGGATTATGATTTAAAGTTAGACGTTAGTGTTAAAAATTAGAGTTAGACTTTTCACTGCGAACTGACAGATATAGTGTCGAAATGTTATTCAGTCATATGAATAGATGGATTTTGCGCTAAGGTCTAGTGATTGGTCCGTCCATAAATTATGACCTTACTAACAGCTTTTTCCAAGTAGATAACGCATTTCAAAACCAGCAGAATAATGAAATTTTAGGAAAAGCCTCAAATTTCTATGATTTGAATATTGTACAACCAACGTTTCATCATATACCAGTTCGTGCATTTAGTAAACAAGTTGGAGACCATGGAGAATACCTCTAGCCTGTTATGAGCATGTTGGGTGTGTTATGTTATTCTCCCATCCTGGAAGACATAACAACAATAAATAGACAGATAACATAAACTGAATAATCATCAACTTATATATTTTTTCAACTCCGCCTGGAGTCCCTCCGGGGGCTACTGCCGGTCCCAAGCCCGGATAAAGGAGGAGGGTTGGGCATGGGGTTAGCGTCCCCATCCCGTAGAAAACTAACTCGCTAAAAAAACGCTAACCAGAAAAAATTATTCAAACCTTTTAAACTCTGCCCTGGGAGTCAGAAGGTCTTCATTTAGAAGAATTATGACGCCTCATGATGAAAGCCGAATTCCTTCGGAAGTTACGAGGCCGATGCCCCTTCTGACAACCAGAGCAACCATTTATTTAGGTACATGGAATGTTCGTACAATGTGGGACACCGGAAGAGCCTTCCAAATTGCTGCAGAAATGAGAAGATACAACCTAGAGGTACTTGGGATCAGTGAAACACATTGGACACAAGTTGGACAACAACGACTAACTACAGGAGAGCTCCTGTTATACTCCGGCCATGAAGAAGAAAATGCACCACATACACAAGGAGTTGCATTGATGCTGTCCAAACAAGCACAAAATGCACTTATAGGATGGGAATCTCATGGACCAAGGATCATCAAAGCCTCCTTCAAAACAAAGAAAGAGGGCATTTCAATGAACATCATCCAATGCTATGCGCCTACCAACGACTACAATGAAGACGCTAAAGATCAATTCTACAATAGGCTGCAGTCAATCGTCGAGAAGTGCCCAACAAAGGACCTGACCATTCTGATGGGAGATTTCAACGCCAAGGTTGGAACGGACAACACTGGATATGAAGACATCATGGGACGACACGGACTGGGAGAAAGAAACGAAAATGGTGAGAGATTTGCAAATCTATGTGCCTTCAATAAGCTGGTCATAGGCGGCACCGTATTCCCACATAAACGCATACACAAAACCACATGGACTTCACCGGATCACTCTACACAAAACCAAATCGACCATATTTGCATCAACAAAACGTTCAGGAGGACTATAGAGGACGTGAGAACCAAGAGAGGAGCTGATATAGCATCAGATCATCACTTACTGGTCGCCAAGATGAAATTGAAACTCAAGAAGCACTGGACAACGGGGCAGACAGTATCACAAAAGTTCAATACGGCCTTTCTTCAGGATACTAACAAACTCAACAAATTCAAGATAGTCCTCAGCAACAAGTTCCAGGCCTTTCATGATCTACTCAATGGAGAAGGAACTACTGTGGAGAGCAACTGGAAGGGGATCAAAGAGGCAATCACTTCAACATGTCATGAGGTCCTGGGTCACAAGAAGCACCACCACAAGGAATGGATCACTGTTGATACACTGGATAAGATTCAAGAAAGAAGAAACAAGAAGGCAACGATCAATACCAGCCGAACAAGAGCAGAAAAAGCTAAGGCACAAGCTGAATACACGGAAATAAACAAACAAGTGAAAAGGAGCATCAGAACCGACGAACGTAAATATGTGGAAGATTTAGCAACGACGGCGGAAAAGGCTTCAAGAGAAGGAAACATGAGACAATTGTATGACACGACAAAGAAGCTCTCTGGACATCGCCGCAAACCAGAACGACCAGTGAAAAGCAAGGTAATCACCAACATTGAAGAGCAACAAAACAGGTGGATAGAACACTTCAAAGAACTCTTGAATCGACCAGCGCCACTGAACCCACCCAACATCGAAGCAGCACCCACGGACCTCCCAATCAATGTTGGCTCACCAACAATTGAAGAAATCAGCATGGCCATCAGGCAAATCAAGAGTGGCAAAGCAGCAGGACCGGACAACATCCCGGCAGAGGCACTAAAAGCAGACGTAGCGGCAACTGCAAGGATACTCCACATTCTCTTCAATAAGATTTGGGATGAGGAACAAGTACCAACAGACTGGAAAGAAGGACTTCTGATCAAAATACCGAAGAAAGGCGATCTCAGCAAGTGTGATAACTACAGAGGCATCACTCTTCTCTCAATACCGGGAAAAGTCTTCAACAGGGTATTGTTAAACAGGATGAAGGACTGCGTAGACGCCCAACTTCGAGACCAACAGGCAGGATTCCGTAAGGATAGATCGTGTACAGACCAAATCGCAACTCTACGGATCATTGTGGAACAATCAATTGAATGGAATTCATCACTCTACATCAACTTCATTGACTACGAAAAGGCATTTGACAGCGTGGACAGAACAACACTATGGAAACTTCTTCGACACTACGGCGTGCCTCAGAAGATAGTCAATATCATACAGAGTTCATATGACGGATTACACTGCAAAATTGTGCATGGAGGACAGTTGACAAAGTCGTTCGAAGTGAAGACCGGTGTTAGGCAAGGTTGCTTACTCTCACCGTTTCTCTTTCTCCTGGTGATCGACTGGATCATGAAGACGTCAACGTCTGAAGGAAAGCGCGGGATACAATGGACATCTAAGATGCAGTTGGATGATCTAGACTTCGCAGACGATCTGGCCCTTCTATCCCACACGCAACAACAGATGCAGGAGAAGACAAACAGCGTGGCAGCAGCCTCAGCAGCAATAGGTCTCAACATACACAAAGGGAAAAGCAGGATTCTCCGATACAACACAGCATGCACCAATCCAATCACAATTGACAGAGAAGATTTGGAAGATGTAAAAACCTTTACATATTTGGGCAGCATCATTGATGAACAGGGTGGATCTGATGCAGATGTGAAGGCGCGGATCGGCAAAGCAAGAGCAGCATATTTACAACTGAAGAACATCTAGAGCTCAAAGCAACTGTCAACCAACACCAAGGTCAGGATTTTCAATACAAATGTCAAGACAGTTCTACTGTATGGGGCAGAAACCTGGAGAACTACAAAAGCCATCATCCAGAAAATACAGGTGTTTATTAACAGTTGTCTACGCAAAATACTTCAGATCCATTGGCCGGACACTATTAGCAACAACGTACTGTGGGAGAGAACAAACCAGATCCCAGTGGAGGAAGAAATCAGGAAGAAGCGCTGGAAGTGGATAGGACACACATTGAGGAAAGCACCGAACTGCGTCACAAGACAAGCCCTCACATGGAATCCTGAAGGTCAACGGAAAAGAGGAAGACCAAAGAACACATTACGCCGAGAACTGGAGATAGACATGAGAAAAATGAACAAGAATTGGATGGAACTAGAAAAGAAGGCCCAGGACAGAGTGGGTTGGAGAACGCTGGTCAGCGGCCTATGCTCCATTGGGAGTAACAGGCGTAAGTAAGTAAGTAAGTATATATTTTTTCAGTATTTCAAACTGGTTATCCTTTCTTCATTAGGTCGAACTCCATGAAATAAAGTATTCTCAAATACAAGTATTGAATTCATTTTCTTGTTAAATTTGCAATGTTTACATTGTGATCAAATTATCAAAATCAGCCATCAAATAATGAATTGTTAGCCGAAATTATCCGCGAAGTTTTAAGTGTTCAATCATCGCCATTGACGATATATCACAGTTGTTACATTCAAAATCACTGCAACACAATAACAGCGATTGTCATGTGATAAATGTATAACGTTAATAGAAAATTGCTGAAGTAATCAGTGAAGTTTGCCGATGTCAGGTATGAGATAAGTAATTACATTTAATGGCAATCAGGTAATAATACAGATTGATTGCTATTAGGAATATGAACCAACGAGAAGTTAGGCGCTCCCTGCGATGCCTGGAGTTACTGGATTCGATCATTGGAATGAGCGTGACTTCACACTGTTACGAAGTCCCAGATTTGGATAAAACTTCTGTCAAGTTCTTTGAGGTTTTTAATGATTGTCGAACCAAATTTAATATGTAGTGTGAAATTTCAGATTCAAAAAACTCCGTAACATTCTCTAATGAAATTTCATATCTAAATTCAATAACTTCATGAGCTAATGACACATTCTGATATGACTATATGAATCCCCCTAAAAACCTATTTTCATGGTTTTCGGCAAAGTATGTTAATGGATCTAGTGACTGAATATGTGTAGCATATAACTTAATTTCATCAGCTGATGAAATTTTAAAACTTTATGAACTGATTTACAGTTTCTTTATATATTTTAAATGTTTTGAAATCTAAGAAATTGAAATCTCTACAGTAACCTAAAAGCCAAATGATATACAATATAAAGTTTGAATAGCTTAATAAACGGTTATTTACAAAAAAATCGATTTTGTTGATAAAATAAAACATAAAAATAGTGTCAAGAGTAAAATAACTTTGTTATTCATGAATAGTGTTGTGGCTTTATTACAACCATCTCTGTCTTGGCAGTAGCAGACTTCTTTGTAAACACCTTGTGCTTCAAACCAATACCGACAGCTCCAGGCTAAACCTAAAATAAAAGTCATTTTGAATGAAAGACTGCTTTTCTGTACAATTTGAAAAGTTAATAACTAATTTAAATGTTAAAAACACAGAATTTAACTAATAGGCAAATGTCTCACTACTACTGACTGCGTTATTATATTTCCTATTTCGACATATGAATGTCTTCACACACAAATAGGTTGGCAAATCCATTGGGATATGAAGCATTAATTTATATACTTTTGAAGCCTACTTGGGACGATGAATTCTTCTTTTTCAACGACAGCTCATTTGACAGCATACTGTTTTTCTCTCAAAAGCTGTTCTTGATCTCCGTTTCAAGACTATGGCAACGTAATATAAACTTTTTGGAAATGAGTAACGGAGTTGTGATGGTAAATGACTTACATTTCCAACCTATCAACGTCAACGAGCACTTTTTTTTATTACCACTTCTCCGGTCACAGTCTTAGTATATACTTCAATCATATCTCAAATGCAGATTTGTTGGAATCCAATGAAGAAGCACCTTACTACTCTGCACTTGTATTGCGATAGAAACAATTGTGGAAGCTGAAGTATTGATCAGTCCAGACGGACTCCTACAAGTGATTGTTTGATATCACAATCATCCTTCCAATCAAAAAATATGTCTCATTGGTCAGTACATGTTTTTACTACGTTATTAAGTCGCTGTAAAAATCAAGTCACATCCAAATCCCTATGATGTATTACTGACATAAATTCCGCGTACTTAGCTTACGAAATAATCTCACTCGTCACGTTTTCAACAGGGTACAATGCATAAATCGGTTGAGAGTGGTTCCGAAAGATCAACTTGCTCTTAATGTCACTTTTGGATTCAAAATACATATGTCTTAGTTTACGAGTAGTATGACTTTTCAAAAAAACTATTCTATAAGTTGGTCTCGACATCTTTTAATAGAACTTTGAGAATTCAGAACATTCGCTTTTTGCCATTTATTGTCAAATCCAGTGTCGAGAACTAATTGTAAAAATATTTGAGCGATAGTACCAAAAGTTGGTGATAATATCCTAAAACACAAGTATATGTTTTTCATGTAGTTGTAACCTATTCTGTTACATTTAATAGTGATTTTTGCTAGGCTATGGACATTAAATTTTGTTAAATCCGCAATAACGGTTATTATCACAGATATTATTTCATGAAACAATGATTATCTTTTCTAAAATCCAACTGTCCATGTACAAAACATTTTATTTCAAATACATAAGCGGATTTTTAAAACCATGCAAAGACATCAAACAAGTGTAGATTTGATGTGATCCAAAACTTATTTCTCATCACAAAACAGACGTTGAGTAGAGTTTACACATTTTCCATAATCAAACAAATAAGGAGTATTGTCTTACAGTCTGCAGACGTTAAAGAAACATGATTATGGTTCATTTAAAGATATGGAAACCATGAGTCATATACATATCAATGAGATCACTCCCTAACTATCAATCTTAATTATTACCTCGCCATATTAGAATTATGGGCAATTAAGAAGGTCCGTAAACTTACGAGCGCGTGGGCATTTCTCATTTTTAATTTCAGATTTCAAGGAAGGAGGTTAATAATAAAACTGTTTCTAAGTTTTACACATAAATTAGAGTTCATAGACTTGTAACTGAACATCGAAGGTAAGTTGAGGCAATTCAATGAGGCAAATTACTTTAACATAAGATTTTAAATATCTCACCATAGTCAGTTCGTGCACCACAAGTCCGTGTGACTTTTATCCATGAATGCCAACCAGTGCTTTCTTGATAAATTTTTACACAAAATGTTCCAGGTGAATGTGATAAAAAACTACCACAATCTATCATTGCATTAAGTCTAGTATCGAAAAATCTTCCGGCTGGACACGAATCATCTTCATTACTATCGCACTGATAACATCGAATAGCCAATACTTCTAATTGGTTAGAAAATTCAAGTATACAAAATTATTCAATTAATATATCTGGCAAGATCGGTTTACCAAAATCTCTGAAAGAAAATTTACCCATAAACCATTTTAGTAGTAAATCATGATGTAAATAACTCCTATCGTGCACCTTACTTGAAAAGTACGTTATAATGAAGTAATAATATGATGTGAAGTTGCGAACTCAAATATCAAAATTATTGTTCAAGAAATCGAGTTTCATCAAAATTTGTGTAGGTTCTCTATAGTATAAAAGCCACAAGTATGCTTTTAGACAAGTTATTAGCAATAGGCGCAATATGTTTCATACTCTGTATAGTTCTCTAAATTCTACTTCACAACAATTCAATAAGGCACAACTTCATTTTCTGCAAACTGTTACTGATTATAATAGTTGTTTTTACGACTTCAAAAAATAGAGTATGTCATAATCTGAGTGCATATCCAATGATACGGTGAAACTATTTATGTCAAAACATTTTCGAATTCTATGTGATGCTACATAGTATAATTAGAATTTTGACACATCTGAAACAGGCAATTCACTCCATACATCCTGCATTTATTATATGTATTTACATTGTTATATTTGATCATTTGCCGGACACATATTAAACTAGAATATGATCCATAACCGTTGGTAAAATCTCCCTTTTTAAATCGAAGTTTCAAACTTGTGGTCATCTTAATGAAAATGACTATAGCCATAGGTACACCTACCGTAGGGGTTAAGCAGTAGGTTTTCATTTTTTCTAGTGACACAAATAGACTATCTAGACAATCACGTTTTAACTGGTGCACCTGGAGTAATTGGAAATGCTTCACACTTGCCTAGGTGAAACATAATTGAAACAATGGTGTCTTCCCATAGCCAAATTTTTAAAGATTTGAATAGCTTTTGTATGGGTTCATGCGAATTATTTTGAAAGCAGTTTTATATACAACTAGGTTTCCGGACAATGTGAATGTATTACTATTTTTAAAAAGTTCTTTTTCCTGTAAATAACCTAGAGAAGTCTACTTTCGATAGTATTATGCAAAATATACTGTCAAATAACTAAATACTTAGACAACGATAAAAACTAACCATTCTCGTAGAAAAGCAACAAAATGTAAACAGGAAACAACAGTATAAACATATTTGAAGGCTTGCCGCCTTTCGCCCTTGAAAGCAGTAAATGTTAGATAAGAAGAACTCATCAGTTAACTAGCTTCCGTGTTTGCGTGTTGTAAATAACAAAATTCGGGAAGTTGTACGTAAATGAGACTTCAAAATAGATAATAATTAAACAGACAAATTCACAAAAACAATTTTTAATCTATTTTACTAATTCTAATATATATACTTCTAGCTGGAAGCATCAAGTGATATAACCGACTGTATGAGAGTGAGTTCATGCTCCTTGTTTTCTTCATTGCATGTCCAAAATGCATCTCTGGTTTTTTGAGTAGTGAAGGAGTATTATCTGCGTCTTTTTTAAGTTCAACACACGAAATTGTTCCGCTTTGTTGCAACTATAAGTGTTGCGAAGATCATCTAGCTATTTTCCTATATATGCTTTCAAAGGAGAACCATCGTCAATTTATTTAACTCTGAATGACGCACTCGATATGCCCATAACACTTAAAAGACGTGGTCAATATCTTCACCCGACCATACTTTCCCCAATTTTGTTTGCACAATCAGTAACTCTCCATTGATAATATTTTCGTTGATATGCACTCATATATACGAATTGTTGAGCACAAAACTATAGAACGCCTGCAACCCAGAGATGATAATAAAAATGTGATGGCTAGACCGCCATACTTCCTTTTCGAAGATATCAAGAACTAGAGATATTATTGAAGAGCTTCCATCGCCTATATATGAAAACTCACTATACTCTTGGATTTCCTCTCTTTTAGATGGCGTGGATTCTTATTCTCCTGTAGCTCAACGATATTTATCTCCGTTGGATCCATGTTCTAGATCTATTATTAACTTGGTCTTCCATCCTTGCATTCGATCTAGGAGATTTATGTCTATCTTGAAGAGAGGGGCCGCAACAAGACTGGAAATAATGTATGGTTGTAGAATTATGGTCTACTTTGTTATTAGCACCATTATAACAATAGCACTAATCGCATAATTAAAAATATGTCATGATGTGACCACCTAATCTATAAGACCTTCTTGGAAGTTACATTAATGTCTCCACTGACTCATCGTATCGTAACAATTAACAGTATGATGTTTCGAGTTTGTAAAGGACACGTTTAGGCTAAATATAGAATAATATATTTATGGAGAGTGAAGACAAGTTATACAGAATGACCACGTATGCGAGGCTCAGCCATGTTATCCGGTTCAGTTCAATTAAATACTCTCGCGTTCTCCATTGTTGGCCTTCTCTGTGTGTTATTTTTGAATATTCATTTTCCCAATTATTTCACATTCAGCTTCGAGAACTGCGTGGTTTTGACCAATGCTACGATTTCGTGTAGAAATATTTGAACAAGTGACGGTAAGATGCGTAGTGACATTCATTTCTTTATGGCTTAACTCACGGGTAGTATAATTATTTTGTGTTTAGAAGTAGGAAAACAATTATTGTTGTATCATTTTCGATATTATTATTGCCTCTGGTTCAAATTAGAAAGTCAGTTGACGTTTATGTTGCCATGCTAACCGTATGAGTTGCATTTCATTTGCATTTGCATTAGTAGGCCAGCTGAAAGAACAAAACAATACCGTGGAAAAGAGGAATTTTAACCAGTTAGTCAGTTTGTTGAGTTTGATACAGTTAGTTCAGGTATGGGGAGATTTTGTTGACCTCAATATTACATTACCGTGTTGGAATTTAGTAATACTGCTAATATATAGGAATCATTATCAAAACTTCTTTCAGGTGAGAAAAGTGATAATCGTGTGTACTTTGGACAGATACTGAAACATGAGTGTAGTCATGACAGATGCTCTAGACATAATGAAATAGACTATTTGTTTACATTCATGCCTACCTGCTGATGATGCATCCAAGTTCGTTGCAAATATAAGATTAACCATAAGGTAGAAAACGAATTATCGGAAATATAATGATTAAAAATCATTGAAATCGACAAAACTGTTTTTCCACAAACATAAGTGGTGAGGCGTTGCACGATGCTTCCAGTTATATAATTCTTTACAAGATGAACAACAGTGGGTGTCGCTCATGTGATTATCTACGAGAACACAAGTTGTAACCAAGAGGATTACAACCCTAACCTCATGTCTATGATACTGATTTGAACTTCTGTCAGTTATGAGGTAAGTTCGACAATATTATCAGTGTTCAGGAGGTTTGCTCAACTTCTTATATCTGTTGTCGGATTTATTATTCTGGTAGTAAATCAGCAGGGAAAAACGCAGTGTATAAACTTGAAAGAGAATAACTATTCAAATACGATGGTGAAAGGGTGGTCGGTTATCAGTGTAGATCGACAACGTAACGCCAAGCGTGAAGAACACACGTCTTTGCATACACTCATCTTGTCTAACTGTTATTTGGGGTCTTCAATAAGAACATTCCTTCGTCATACATCTACTCAAAATATGATGTTCTCAGTGAAAAAGACCATTATTTGGTCAATTATTTTGGCCTCATATATGGGTAGTATGTCGCCTTAATATAGATATAGATTTTACAGTCTATGGGAAAATTACTTCTGGTCAGTTGGCGGTGGATTATTTCATCATTTCAGCTTTCAACTGTGTGTGCAAACGTTTTTTATCGACCCGGGACCACATTGATATGCTTAACTTACAAATGACCTAACTTTCAGTGATATATATACTGTTCACTCATGGCTTTCATTGGTACTATGTATCCCTCAAAGATCTTTCGGCTTATCAGTATAAAAATAAGGTAAACAGAAAATGTTCATGCAAATGGTTTAACTGCTCAGTATCCATTGTTGTTTCATATGATTTGGACGCTGATAACACTATCTAGATTGAAGATGAAAGCTATTTAATTAAACTGACTTCTTCAGAGTAAATAATGTCACTAAAATCACCTATCTGTCCCAAACATTTCTTGGCAATTGAGCAGCCTGTAGGTCTATGGCTATCTAATTAAATTCTCATTATGCTTTGAATTATCTGTGATACCACGATTAAATTTGTAACTCATAGTAATACTGAATGATGTTACTGTATCCCAGTATTGATGTCTATGTTTAAGCGTGAAATTTGAAGCGGTGAAGTCTAAATATAGTGACAGCAATAACAATGAGGAATATAAAGTATTGAAAATATGGTTCGAAAAAAGAACAGCATGAAAAGACATGAGGAAGAAATCCTAGAACTCAGCATCTGGAGGGAGATAAGAAATGAATGTACCATCACCACCATGGCCGGTCCTAAACTATGGCACTCGAATATATATGTCGTCTCGATCGAGTCTAACCAATAGTCGTTAAATTTATGAGCTGAAGTCACGCTTTGGTTTGGTATCATCCAGCTTTCATTCAGCCTGTTTCTACATCGAAAATTGGAAGTTGAGGTAGGCACTGATGAGGCAAAGTGGATGAACAAGTATGAATGGAATTACTTGTCCAATTCGAAGAACGTAGCCAAATCGTTCGCTTTGGATCTTGCTACTCTAAACCTGTGAATGTAACCAGTGGGGTTATACAAGGAATTGTGGTTGGTCCATTACTCTTTCTCCTTTTTATCAATGAGGTGTGTTCCCTCTTTCAGTATGGTAAGCCTTTCCTCTCTGCTGATGACCTGAAAGTAGTATATTCATTCTCTTCTCCTACAAAGGAAAGCTATATTTCAGCGGTAATCCAAGAGGAAATAAACAAGTTGTACGAATGGACTGTTTCGTGGAATATGCCACTTAATGTTGACAAAAGTGGATTTATTCACATTGGTCGCTGTCTTAACTTAAATCTGACTGTACACACACATACACTCAAACCTCTCAACACTGTTCGTGACCTGGGTTTAAGATATAGCAACAGTCCGAACTTTTCTGAGCACATTATATCTCAAGTATCCAAAGCTAGAAAGCTGATCGGATTGATAATGATAAACTTCAATAATATCGAATCGAGATTGTTACTATACAGAAAATGTATTTTACCCTTTCTTGAAAATGGTATTTTAGTTTACAGTAATTGTAGACATAATGACCTGATTAGAATTGAAGGTGTTCAAAGAAAGTTCACCAAAGCTGTTCTGGGGTATTCCGATAACAAAGACTATTACCAGAGATGTCAACAACTGAACTTAGAACCTCTTTGGATCAGACGTATCAAATTAAATCTTACCTTTATCTACCGGCTTATTAACGGTATTTCCTACTCCTCCGTATCTACCCCTTCATACCTTATGATATCATCCCACAATCTACGCAATAAGGAGAATATTCTAGCGATTCCAAGAGCCCACACAAACTTACGTCAGAATTTTTTGCTTATTTGCTACTCAACCATGTGGAACAGACTGCCAGTGAACCTCCGTTGCAGTGAAACTACAACCCGGTTCAGAAGTCTGCTTGAAGATTTTCTTTCCGAAAGTGGATTATGTCACCCATTGAATATCATTGTATTCAATAATGATATTTATACAAACAAGGTCCATCATCCATTTAATTGCTTGAAAAGCAAAATAAAACCTTTAAATCTTTTCATATCTATCTTGTTTTATTTCTCTTTATCTTAATATATGAAGTCTGCTTATGTTCATGTTTATCATTATTACCGTTATTAATATCATTATTAGTTCCCCGACACATTAGATATTCTTTTTGTATCTTCTTATCCTTCTTAACATATTTAACTCCAGATTGTCCTTTAAAATCAATTTTGACTTTCATAGCATCAATCTTAATTATTATTGCACAAATATTTATACTAATATCCGGTTTCACTCTGTATACTATTACATAAATCTAAATGTATTCATCCGAGTGCTTTAACAGATTTTTATTTTATTTTTTCAATTGCTGGTTTCCTCGTGAGGTTGATATTCATTACACAATTATTATTCTCATCATGGATCAAAACTTTTCACTAAGTGTTCACTTCTTTTCTCTCTCTTCTTTCCTTCTAAATAAATATTATTCTTAAGATTACGAAGTTTGTAATTAAAACAATAATTCGTGTTACAGTTAAATTAAATTCTCAGACCCG